TCAAGGAATCAATTATGTTTTTCCTCATCCTCTTTTCTTTGTGAAATTATGTGTAAGTCACTCATTTATTTGATATCTAGACATAATTTGATCTCTAAAGACTTGTGGAAGGCTGCTGATGAGAATGTCTTGTTTTAACTCTCAACATCAAGGCATTTCCAACAAAAGCCCAGCTCCATTAAGACCTCATTAATATCTGCCTTCATTTGGAAGCAATTGGTGACCATGGCCGCGTGACGACTAACCTTGTTAGGGACTTGAACAGTTGATTTAAGGGGCCAGCGTTCATGGCCGTTATAAAGGACTTGGGTGTTGTTGTTTTTCCACTTGAATTCAGCAGAAGGGTCGGGAAAATGAAAAATGCCGCTTGCAATTGTGATAATTCTTCCAATACAGACTTCAGAATTTGTCAGCTCTATTATTATTTTATTTATCTGCTTTCAATATGTCATGCATTAATTATTTTGTATCAAAATATAATTCTAACATATTTATTCTAACATAATTTTTAGATACATTAGATTACCTTTTTTATCAAATAAAAACAATTGTTTATGTTCAGACTGAATTGTGTGATCAATTATTTTCTAATGTTTCACAGTACATGATCATGTTTTGAATTATAGTGTATTTCTTTTAGTTTGTTGTTGCCATTTGTTGGTGTATATGTTATATTAACCTCCAGCCGTATCAGAAAGCATACATTTGAATCTCCACCAGTTTCTCTTTCTCTCTCTTCCTCTCTCCTTCTCCATAGTCCTGAGGTGATATATGGCCATTGACACCATTAGACAAAGGTATTATTAGCAGATTAGGCTGAGCGAGGGAGCAGGGATAGGGATACAGACCAGGGGCCATGTTTCTAAAGATGCCAGGCCCCGTCTTTGGAATAACCCAGCAGCCCCCTTAACCACCGTCCCAATTACAGCTGCATCACACTCCGCACACACAGCGGGTCACAGAGGATGGTGAATAAATATTCCCACATTATCTCCACTGGTGGAAGGGAGCAGAGAACAAGCAGGCCCACAGGGGATATGACTGCCACCATTGGCCCTCAGACTGGGAGGGTCTGGGAAACACGGAAGGAGCATAATGTAGGTTATCAATGACAAAGAGATTTTCCAAAGGAGATTGGACGCGGTGTATTAAGATGTCTGGCAGCTATTTGAAAATAGTGGGTTTATAAAGCTGAAATCTTTACCATTTATTTTTATAATAAAATTAATAATGTACATTTACTGTTGTTGAACTTGGTGTCTGCATGTGTATTTATTTTCATTGCTCCAGGTGGTGGCTTGCTACCTTTCTGCTTGACAATGCCAGCAGTCTTTTCAAAACAAAAGGGCCATATGGGCCTGATTGGCCCTGTTCCGCCAAATTTTGTGCAAGTCTCATTTTTTTGAATAGTGGGTTATGTGCACTAGCAGTGGGTGCACTCTTGGTTAGTGGGCAACAACAGGTCTCATCAGATTAAACTCATAAAATGTTGCAAGCACTGAAGCTAGCTATATACACCATGAAGAAAATGAGGCACATGAGCCACCGGTCATGTCCTAGCCACATAGAATTGTGTCTATGTTGGATACATACTTTAGGTGCTGGAAGATTGTGGATCCCAGACACCTGAAGGCTTCCAAAGACACTGTGCTGTTGAGAATAGTGTTGGGGGTCTCCTCCTGAAGTCCACTGTCATCTCCACCGTTTTGAGAATGATCAACTCCATTGTTATGACTGCACGAAAGGGGCAACTGTTCAACCTCCTGTCTGTATGAAGACTTATCACTGTAGCAGATGAGGCTGATTACCGTTCTGTTGTCTGTAAACTTCAGGAGTTAAACTTTCAGGTCTCCTCAGGTGCAGTTGTTGGTATGAAGGGAGAAGAGCAGTGGGGAGAGCAGACATCCCTGGGGGCCGCCAGTGCTGATTGATTTTCCCCAACCTTACCTGCTGCCTCCTGACGGTCAGGAAGTCTGTTGTACACTAACAGGTGGGGGCTGGCACAGTGAGCTGGATAGGTTTAGAGTGGAGGACTTCTGGGATGATGGTGTTGAAGGCCAAGATGAAGTCCACAAACAGGATCCCTGTATATGCCACAGGGGAGTCGATCCAGCACGGATGATGTAGACAGGTAAACTGCAGGGAGTCTAGCAAGGGGCCTGGGATGTCCTTTAGGTGGGCCAACACCAGTCTCTCAAAGGATTTCATGACCACAGACGTAAGGGTGACGGACCTGTGGTGATTTAATCCTGTGATAGAGGGATTCTTGGGGACTGGGATGATTGCTGAGCATTTGACGCATGAGGGGATTTCTCTCAGCTCTAGTGATCTGTTGAAGGTATGTGTGAAGATGGGGGCTAGGTGGTCAACGCAGGCTTTCAGACAGGAGGGTGACAAGCTGTCTTAGCCTGGGTCTGTCCTGATCTCCAGTCTCTTAAAGAACTGACACATCCTCTTCACAGATCCTGAGTAGTTGGGGGTCAGTGAGGAAGGGTGAGGGGGTGGCAGAGGGTGAAGTCGTTGTGTCTGAGTAGTGAGGGGTGTGAATATGGGATTATCAACCCTACAGAAAAAGACATTCAGATTGTCTGACGGTTGATGGCTCTCATCAGTGTGGAGGGATGGTAGCTGGCTATGTTCTGCAGGGCTCTCCACACTGACACAGGGTTGTTGGTTGAACCTGTTTTTCAGCTTTTCAGAGTAGCTCCTCTTTGCTACCTCTGTATATCCCTTGTCAGCATATTTATGGCCTGGTTGTACAGGATTCTGTCCCCAGTTCAGTAGGCCTCCTCCTTGGTCTGACTAGGCTGCCTGAATTTAACTGTAATCCAGGGTGTATTGTTGTATGTGCAGAAGGTCTTAGTTAGTACACACATCCTCACAAAAGCTGATATAAGATGTCGCAGTTTCAAATCAGTGCAGTCGAAGCAGGTTTGTAATTCCAGCTGTGTCTCGTTCCATTTCCTCACAGTCTTGACCACAGGCTTAGCAGATTGTAGTTTCTGCCTGTAAATCGGACGGATATGAACCATACAGTAATCGGAGAGTCCCAGAGCTGCACAGGGGGCAGAGCGATAGGTGTCCTTTAATGTGGTGTAGCGATGGTTCAGTGTGTTTTGATCCCTGGTGAGACACTTAATGTGCTGTCTGTATTTTGGCAGTTCTGCTGGTTGTTCTGAGGTTTGCTCTGTTAAAGTCCCCAAGAACAATGAGCAGGGAGGCTTGGTGTATGTTCTCCGTAGAAGTTATCTGGATAGCCAGGTATGTAAATAACACTGGTCTGAGGTGGGATGTAAACACCAACCAGAATAACGGAGGAAAACATATAGTAGATAGCTTACAGTCAATGTAAACAGTCTCTAAGTGACTGTATATTTTCTTAAACACTGTGACATCTCTACACCAACCTTTGTTTATGTAGAAGCAGATTCCACCACTCCTTGTTTTCCTCGATAGCTGTTACGCGATCCACTCAGCAGAGTTGGAAGCCCGGTAGATGTAGTGTATTATCTCTGATGTGCTCACCAAGCCAGATTTCGGGAAGCAGATCTGGAGAAGTCTGCGTTTGCTTGGTTGAGAAACAGCAATTCGTTTATTTTGTTGGCCAGTGAGTGAATATTTGCTAGCTGTATTGATGGAAGCAAAGTTCGAAATCCCATCGCTACACAGCGTTTATGCAGGGAATTGTTGAAATTTCCTCCCTTATGAATTTAATCAGGAAGGGAGAGCTGACAATTGAAAAAACGGAAAAAGTACCAGAGAGCAAAACACCAACATTTTCATAAGAAAAAAGGGTTTTGAGTCCTGGTACCTTGAAGTAAAAGCTATCTTGGAAGATTAATATGAATATGAAGCACCTAATGTATGTTGATTACGCATATAAATGTGGGAAGTACAAAAAGGATTGTGAATAATCCGTCTAAAAGTTCGTAATGGCCTCTCATGGTAAGACCATGCAGAATACAAGCACATTGTTCAAAGTCAGAGAGGAGAGTAGAAAACAGAATTGTGAGATTACACAATCTTACTGTGCTAAGTAAATTCTTATTCTTTCCCACAAACATAATTTCACTAATATGTGATCCTTGGAAGACGCACTAGGCTCTAGTAGTTTTGTTTTTAATTATTTCTAAAATGACATTTTGTACATACAAGCCTTTCAGTTGACAGCAAGAGTGTGAAAGTCTCTATTTCTTTAGTTCTTTCTCTCGCTCTCCTTCTCTCCTTGTTTTGCTTTTATCCTTTTAGTCTTGAAGGAGCCTAATGAGCGTGTGCAGAGGGCCTCTCTCTCCCTGCCCTTAAATCAGTAATTGGTTTCAGCGCCGAGACTGTCAGGAAATTAACACATCACACGGTGACAGCTGTTCATTTTTTCAGCAGCATTCTTCGTCATGTGAATGGGCACTGATTTGCGAGCGAACATCACAAATGAGTGGTTGCTAATCAAGGGGCCACTCTCAAGGGCAGAGTATTGCCCTCTGCTTCCATTCTCTCTAAAGTTAGCAAATAAGTAAGTAAAGAAATAACTGGTGTGCTGTGTGTGTGTGTGTGTGTGTGTGTGTGTGTGTGTTGCTGTCTGTACGTATGCATCGGCATTAGCTCACAGGTGGGTGTATCTTGGAGAGACGGGCTGTTCTATGGGTATTATTGTTACAGTGACTAAAAAGCTTTACAGAAGTGATTCCATATAGAACAGGCTAGTGTTCTTTGTTGCTGCAGAAGGGATCTAGCTAATTTCTTTGGCATTACGTGTTCCTCAAAACATATTTAGTGCCGCAAATCAGTTGTATATACACATAATTTCTAGGAGACAGGGCTGCTCATGGACAGGTGCTGCACACTGTTGAACACTTATGTACTTACAATTATACAAACAATTTGCTCCTTAGACCTTCCATCATGTAATTGTAATGTTTTTTTCAAGTCATGTTCAATTCATTGAATTCTACCTGATGAAGGTCTGAGGACCGGAATTTATAGTTACAGTGATTCTTTCACCAAAATTCCAAGCACAGGAACCTGCTATCATTCCCATCTTGACAACTTGATTTACTTGTAATTGCGCAGTCATTCAGTACCATTCAGAGGTGTAATGTTTTGGCTTCCCGTCCTGCAACTTTACTGTTTTGGTTCAGTCTCAATAACAATTGTACTTGCATGTTACATTACATTACTATACACGTATTCATTTGTTAATTCAACCTCATTCATTCTAAGGCTGTTGACAGAGAGGCTCCTCATTGATTGGGTGTATTTGCGTATTCACTGATAAGACAGGCATTGTATCACTGTGATAGCATCAGTGTAACACTTGAGTTCATACCAAGGTTAAATGAAGAGCTCTCTTTGTAAGGTGACTTTACATTTGAATGTGTTCAGTAGGACACTGTTAGCATGATCAGGAAGTAATCTAACTATATTGATTTGGAGAGATAAGACTGAATCTGACTTGATTAACTGATAAAGATACATTTAAGAATCAGACCATCCTAAACTGTTGTACTCAGTTTTGTGTGATGATTTATTGAATTCTAACAGGGGGTTAATTACATTTATGTGATGGTTTCCTTAATTTTCCCTGAATGTCAACCTAAAGAAAAGGGGCACTACCTTGTTGCATTCAGAGCACATAGTTTGAGTGATGCCACTCAAAATACCGACTATCATGTAACCGTTCCACATTCTTGAATTCTCAAGTCGTCAAATACAGAGAATGTGTGTTGGAGAAACATGGTGGTTCAATATGGCAGACTACACGGAACGCAACCCATGGCATCTGTAGATAAAAACGGGTCATTCCAAGGTAACAAAAAACACAAGGAGGCAGAGGAAACAGCTAGCCTGGCTTTGTTTAAAGTAAAAAAACAAAACAAAGAAATGCTTCATACTATCCCTAAAGCTCACCTATTAACACATTGTGTCCTGTTTATTTAATCCATACACAGGCACACAAGAAGTGTATAATGTAAATGCAAATATGTGGTTTTATGGAATTGTTACATGCTGTAACTATTTTCCAAAATGATGTACTACTCCTTTGAGTCTTAGAATAAAATTTCACCCCCTCTTTAGCATTCCTCTCTTTGTCACATCACACTCAGCTTATTCTGCTCCTAAAACGTATGTGCACATGGTGTAAACCACACATGAACACATATTCCAGCAGCACCTTCTTGTTTTATTATTAACATTACACCATTTATTGTGTGGAACAAACAGCAAAACTGAGAAAGCGTGTGGTTTTTAGCATACATAATCTTATGTCTTCTTTTATTGTTGAGATTCTGATGAAAACTGTGTGCGTATGTGGACAAGTGTGAGGTAGTGTGCACTTGTGTGTGTATGAGCACATGTCTCAAACAGAATGAGAGAAAGTGAGAGCGAGTCCCGGACATCTTATAAATCCTTCCAAAACTACAGCCGGATAATAGCCCAATTAACCTTTTCATTCTTCCCCAATCGTCAGCGAAATCCCTGCCCTCATTCTCTCTCTTTTTTCTGTAATAAAATGAACTTCTCTTTCTCTCCTCTCATCTTTCTCCACCTTCCCATGAGATCAGAGCAAAACGAAGGGTGCTTGACCCTTCGCACAATAAGGATTCGTACAAACGTACAAAAATAACCAGGTTTTATTCCTCTGATGTGATTTTCCACCCTAACATCTCCTCTCTTTGTCTGCGCTGACCTTATTTATGAGGATGACTTAGTGAAGGACCAGTGCCTGGATTAGAGTACAGAGCATGGAGGGGTACAATATGAGGTTAGAGGGGTCGGGGAGAAAAGATCCAAATGTGAGGACACTTACAGGGGGATAGAGAAGGTTGTTGGAGTGGGTGGCAGTGTCTGGGCTTTAACACCTGCTGCTCCAGCCTGGAATTTGTACAATACAACCTGGATTTGTCCAGAGCATTTGATGTTTCTAACTCAATGGAGCTGTTCAATTTCTGTCGCTATCTGGCCAACAGTGTCATTTATTAATGCTACACTAACACTGAGTTTAAGTATTATATGCCTTGTGTAAACAATTATAATATATATATAATATATGCCTTTGTTATAATGTAATATCTTGCCACAGTGTTCTTGTATATCTTGAAGGTTATATACGAAATATACTTACCACTAGATGCACTAGAGAGCCAGCATCTCAGATCAAAACAATGGAACAGAAATCAAATAAAACTCGCCAAAAACATATTTGTTAGTCTTGCCACAGTCTTTCCAGCAATCACCAATGCTGGTTTGGTCCATGTGAAAATATTTGTGAAAAGGGCTGCAACATAAGCTAACGTTAATTCTTGGGGACGAATACGTCTGTCAAAGCATGTCCACTAAAAGTTGTTTTTGCCACATTATAGAAAAGATTTTGTTTAACCAGAAACAGCCGTGATATCGCAACGGCTCGCCACCAGACTCCATAGACAAAAACGGTAATTTTACCTCACCTATCATTTTAACATCACAACTTCATTCAAAGTGGACAGAAACAAAAAAAATCTTTGTAAATAAAGCAGAAAACATATTTGTCAGTCTTTACACTGTTCCAATAAACACCAGCTCTGGTTTGGTTGAAATAAATTCAGTTTCAGTCAGCTGCACATGGAGCAGACTGGCTACGTGAACAAACCACAGAGAGGCTTTGATAGCAACACAGGCAGAGGGAGTGTGATGTCATTATTTGCACAGGACACCAAGAGTCCACTATATCGTTACATAGACAATAGTTTTTTGCTACTATATTAATATTTTAAATATTATATATTCATAACCTTTAAACCTTAAATGGTTGGTTCACCCAGTTTACAAAATAAATGCGTACTTTCGAATGTTGTAAAAAAGGGTAGTACATGTTTTAAAACATAGGCAATTAAAACCGTATGCACTGAAACCACCAAGGATAAGTACGTTTTTAGAATGCATTAAGTCACTTGCCAGCATCCACAAACCCTCACTCATACTAAACTCAAAGCACCCTTAGGTGACAGGTGTGTAGAACCACAAACTGTAAACTGAGGAGGATTCATACATGTAACACAGTATTTCTATTAAAAATGTTTAGTCTGACAACGCCCTGAAAACATCACCATGGCATCATCAGGGTTATTTTCTCCAGCTCCTCCAGATACACAGAAGAGATTGCACAACTTTTTTCCCCCTTTTTTTCATACTAACCAAGTTGAAATGTGTATTGCCCCTTAAACAACCAAAACAAACCCTGTTGGTATATTATGGTGATTTGTTACTATTGTCCAATTTCATTGTTATCTTCTGGTTGTGTTCTTTCAATTTTAAGTGGCCATTAATATCAGTATGCACACAATATGAAACTAGTGACCTAAATAAAATACACACATAAAAAATACAATAAAACCGAACTTAATTATTTAAGTTTGTTTAGATACCACTCCTGGCCATTTGCACACACACACACACAAACACACACATACACACACACACACACACACACACACACACACACACAGATACACACGTAAATGTAGTGGAAAGTGAAGTACATCAGTGAAAAACATTACAAGACCAGGTTCTCTGTGTTCAAATCCTTCATTGTCACCTTGCTCGTTGTCACAACCAGCTCCTGTTCTCCCCTGACACCTCGCCTCTCTCAAGCCGTGCCGCCAACCAAAACAAATACCTCATTAATGCACTTCCACACCAGAAAATCAACGCATAATTAAAACTTTTCACTGGAGAAAATTACTGGGGATTTGTTATTTTGATATCAGCACTTCACACCCGCCTGCTATACTAGAACAAGTGTGTACGATTATTTTTCCACTCAGAATTCCCAAAGGATATTATTTACTTTATTTTGTTGTTTTTCTTGGTCATCTCTGTCTATTTCACTTCCTTTGGCTTGTTGTTGAGAGATGCATCGCCGGAAGCAGCAGACATATAGTGCGCACTGTATGTTTGGACAGGTGGACAGATGTCAGTTCTCATTATTCGTTGGTGTCTGGATGCGAGGACAGACAATAAAAAGCAAAAGGAAATCCTTGTGTTGGGATTTTCACATCACTCCCTCAGGACCTTACAGTGTGTGTTGGTGTGTGCTGCATCTGAAAGCTGTCAGGTGATACAAAGAAGTCTATTTGGGCCTTCTTTATGTGGGTTAGTATGAAAATGTGTTTGCATGTGTGAGTGACACCCCAAGAGTAGAAAATACAGTTATAGGGAAAACAAGGAGGAAAGCAGGAAGAGACAAAGAAACAAACTGTGATATTTCTTGATTTTGACAAGCGCCCTGCCAAGGTGAAATTGCGTCTGATGCTCGTCTGTGGCACGACTCTGCTTCTCCCCACGTCGCCCTGTACATGAAGTTAGTGTTGTTTTCAATCTCATCTCTTTTCAAATGTGGCGCAGGGGCCGGCGCAGAGAGGTGGCTGCCGTGCCTGGCGTGTTGGGTGAAATTGGACTGCCTCTCCCCATTATTGTAAACATCATCCCACCAGACAGGCAAGCGGGTCGCAGGGACGCAGGATGAGGGGGCCTTGTCTGGGAGAGATCTGCTAAAACACATCCATTAAGGCCCAAACTATTTTTGATTTACATGTTCAGACTCTTTAAAACTGTCACATCCACTCCCCCCACTGCCGCCGCCGCCGCCGCCACCCAGCTCCCGCCCGCTTCCTTCGCTCTCCGTCTCCACACATACACATGACCGCTTTCATGTGACGCCGAAAGACAAAAAAGTGATGTTTCTTTTCTTTCTTTTCTCCTCCAGCTCTCTTGTTCCCAAGCGAGTGGGGAAAAAATCTCCTCTCTCGGTATGAAGGGCAAAATAGCATGAGCCAACCTCAGTAGTCTGGTAAATAATAGGCAGCCAATCGCATGTGTTGGTGCCTACCTCATTACAGTGTATGCAGAACTTAATGACCTTAACGTCGCCTGCAATCATCTGTCATGGCAGCAATTAATTTCATACAGGGCCAACGATGGTGGCAGACCATTTAAAGTTTCTCAAGTCATACTGTAATTTATATCAGGGATGGGAGGAAAAAGCATATATGACAAATACTCTATAATGCTAAGTAGACAACAATAAAAAAACATTCATTAGGAGAATCGAGGACAAAAAAGAATGAGATTAAAAAAAGAGTGAGGTAGAGAGCAAAGCCAAGGTTGAATCATAATTAGGAGGATAATGTGGCTTAAAAGCTAGAATATATTAACCTCAACTCTATCTGGCAAAACAATATGAGAACAATAAAGACTTGAGGATATGAACAATAAGTGTGGCGATTTTTCTGTAACACGACTGAAAATAATTAAAAAGGATAGGTGCTGTAGATTTGGAATGCTAAAACAGCAACACATCAGGTACACTTAACAAAAACAAATCCGAGTGTCCTCTTTTAAATTATTTGTTGCAGAGATTTTACCTCATTAAACAACATACATTTGTGTCCAAATGTGCTGTTTTAAGTGCTAAGTGTGCAACGGAAATAGTTGAATCCTCTCTTCATAAAAATCCCCTATAACTTGTCGCTTTGGGCTCGCTAAAAGCTCTCACTGCATCTTCACTTTTTTTTTTTTTTTTTGAAACATTGCATTTTCATAAAGTTCCATTTTATGTGAATTTAGTGATGTTATGGCTTCATCCACAAATATTTCAGCAAGATGCGACTGTCGCCACTGGGCAGGCTCATAAAGAATGGAGCAGTAACAGGCTTTGTATGGAGGGAGCATACTGTAAGTCTGTATGTATGATCTGAATGATAACACTGCAGAGCTTCTCGCAGGAGATAAAATATATTGTAGGAACTATTAAACAATTGTTTATGTACTCTGTTTGGATAAGAAATCCTTCACATATCATGTATTTGGGTTAGGTTTAGGGTTAGGGTTAGGTGTTTCTGAACAGAAATTATTGATCAGCAATTATTTCAAAATTTGATTACATGAAAACAAAAATAAAGAATATTTTAATTGCTATGAATGAGCCAAACCATTTGACAAAAATGTTCTCTTCATTCTCTAGTTCACAGCAAAAAAAGGAAGACAAAAGGCAAAGAAAATAGATATTCCATAAGTGCTCTTTAAGTACATATGATGTGGAATATTACCACAATCCAAAGATCTATGATTAGGTTCTTTTTTTGCTAAATAAGAGTATATTACACCATTTATCAAGTCGAGAGGAAATGGTGACGTGTCTTCTGCCTTCCATTCATCATGATTACAGTGGCATCAGTCCTGGTTTGTGTCTTTGGTCATGATGTAGTTGCCTTGTCTGGATATGCTGGAGTCAAAAGGCAAAAGGCACAGGGAAATCCTCTATGGTACATTTAACTGGCACATTGCAAGATAGTGTGTGAAATTCATACAATGCCACAGACATGAACTGTGTGTGTGTATATATGTGGTTGATTTTAAAATCAATTATTATTTGCCACACAATATAAGACACGCTTTTGGTCAGTTTAAACTCAAAGCAAAGCTCTCCATAAAATGTAAGCCAGTAGCAAGAGAAACTAAAATGATAAAGAAAAATACCCAACATATCGCCCAAGAACTGCAATACACAAGTGCAATTTTTGTTACCTAACATTGTTCATATGTGTACAGTTTTTTACGCTTTTATTCTCAACAAACATACATATTAGGGATGTAAATAAATATGACTAAATTACCCGAATATGAAAGGCATCCACATTTTTGCACACTGTAAAACCTAACAGCATGTCTTAGGTAAATTACAAAAATTGTGCCACAGTGCTATAATGCTTTTCATTTTTCAACTTTTGTTTTTATTTCAGCGTATAAATCATCATGCACCCAGATAATAACAATCCCCAAAGTGCAAAGATTTGATGTTAGTCACATAAATTAGGCTACAGTTAACAACTTAATTACAGCAGTAACAATTACAATAGAAGGGGACATTAATTTACTACCAACAAGTTTTTTATTTTAGGTGACAGGTAATGTAATAATTAGCTTTAGTAGAAGTAAAGGAACTGAGTAAACTCAGCCTAAGTGGGAACATTTGTTTAAAGAAGATGCATTTAAGTTGGTCTTCCTTTATTCAGATACATTTAAATACGTTCGGAGAAAGGCTGTGCTATCCTTATTTATACTTTTTTAAGTTCAATTAACTGAATTGGTAAAATTAACATATTTTACCCAAGTTACCTTAACAAGTACTTGAGTTACTCGCACTTGTGTAAAATATTTTTTCTTGCTTAAATTGTTTTAGTTAATAAACTCAAACGTTTTAAGGCAATCTGTTTCCTCAAAGTTTGAGTTCAACTAACTCATTGGGTTTTACAGTGCAGTAATATGTCACACTACTTCATACATCTCTACTACATCTCAGACTCGTAACTCAGTCGGATCAAAACACACTGTTTACTCACTGGCAGCAAGATCCCCATGTTCATCGTGGACAAATGTCCCTGACTTCATTTAGGAATAATATTAAAAAGGAGCTTATAACTTAAGCTCAAAATGATCAGAATCAAACCTTTTCTTCAGTAGCTACAGTAATAAAGATGGTTGTTCAGTATTCAGACATTCAGCAATGTTCATCCCCAATAACTCACCAGATGTGTTGTTGAGTGCAGAATAAAGCTGACTGATGTTCACAGGTGTTATTTTTACCCTGTGATCAATACTGAAGCCTGACACCAGGCGCAACTTGACAAGAGACGAGAAACTGATGAGCTGAAGTATGAGACCGTCTCAAAAGTGCAAGCAAAGCAGTCAAGCAGCTGCTCGGATTTTTGTCAAGAGCTCTTTCAATTTTTTTCTAAGACACCAACTTTAACCAACTTTAACATGCACATCCTTAGAATAATGCAACACGGCCCAATGAGCTATTGTGACCTTCTGATCTTCTCTCAGACTCTGCCCATTACCGTATATACACAGGCTTCAGTTTCCAAGAAAAAAAATGCAAATCTGTTTTCCCGCTGTTAAAATCACCTGTTCTATTTTCACTATTCTAATTGTACCCTTTGACAGTACACAAGTTTAATTTTGACTCAGTTTAGACTTTAAAAGAAAAAGGAAATTATGTTTGGGTTTAAACACAAATCATAATATAATATAATAATATATGATAATATAATTATTATTTGATCAATTTAGGTATTACGGTTTTGCCTATTATGCTTACGAGAATTACATGATAAGAAACAAAACAAACAAGGTTGCAGCTTTGTGTTACACTCCTAATGTATATAATAGTAACCAGACCAGACCAGGAAATAATGTGGGCCATTGTGTCAGTAAAGGTTAAGGTGGCTCAGTAAGTAGAGTGGGTCGTCTACTAGCTGTAGGATTGGTGTTGTAGTATCCTTGAGCAAGATACTGAACCCCTGGGTGATACTGAGCTCTCTGGGTGCTCACGACTGCCCACTATTCATAGAGTAGCCTATAGGATAGGTCAAATGCAGAGGAGAAATAGCATATATGTATGTAAATACTGAGGATATGACAACAAAGGCTAAAATGGCCTGATTATTATAAATGTGTGTAGTACTGACAGCCCATTGGCATAGGAGTCCAGAGCTATGACATAATTTTTACAGGGTAACGTACTCAAGCTGGATCTGCAGTCAGTTCAATGCTCATATAAAAAGAGTCTGGAGGAAACACGAGGTCGCTCAATACAGAAAGAAATAACCCATAGACCACTGGGGCACCCCTGACTTTTGACATGTTGATTTACTACCTCAAAATTAGGACTTAGTATTGGTACGTTGAATTTATACAGTCAAAATTACGACTTAGACAGTCAGCATTGACTTTCATCATTCTTAATTTTTTATTTGTATTTTTTTCTTCCAGTCAGAAATGGGCTTCCATATGAACTCAGTATTTACAAACTCATAAGATAAGATGTTCCTTTATTGATCCCCCTCAGCAGCATAGGGCAATGTAGTGCAAAAGAAAGAGTACAGAAGTGGAGGTACCTCAAGATATCACAATATAAAATATTACAACTGAAAATTGTTAAAACCTACACAGGTTTATTTTAGATTATATGACTCTTATTCTGTTATCCCTCAATTTTGATAAAAAAATGAAAAAATGTTAATTTAGCATTTCATAATTTTGATATTCTTTGTCTTATCCTGGCATAAATGGGCTTCCATATGTTTAAGAGGTTAAGGGGTTAGCATTTGGGAACTGTATCCACACAGCTGCACACAAACACACAGCCCTCATGCTGCACAGTGCTGATTCCCTCCATCTCTGATCTTGATGATCTTGATCCTATCATCCACTGGCTTGAGTTCACACCAGTCCACTCCACTCACACTAACAACCACATGCACACGCAGGTCTGTAGCTAGTTAGAGGTATCTGCCTGCATGACGGAGGGTGTTAATCTGACCGATCCCCTCGCTGCCAACACATTTCACAACCACGCATTTGTCAACAACTACTTTCCCTGTTTTTCTGCATTCTCTCCATCTCTGCCCTTTTCTAACACATCCGGCTTTGTTCGCAGAGAGATTGTTGTGCAGTGACAGATTCAGAACGCAAAAATACAAATCAGGCCTTTGAAATCGGGCTGAATAGAACTTGCCAGTATCAATCAATTTGCCCGCCGCTCGTCCCCTATGGACTATGACAAAAACATCTATCTTATCGGTGCCGCTTGCGATGATGCGGCCGTGGCGTCTTCAATCTGCAATGCAAAATTAACCTCGCTTTAATATAGATGCCGGGGAGGAAAGAAAGGAAGGAGAGAGGAAATGTGAGCGTGTGTGTGTAGAAATTTGATGAAACACCGGCGACAATAGCAGAGTTCAAACCCTGTGTGTCGTTCCATTATTACTTGTTTCTGCCGTCCTTGAAGGAGACCTGAGCTCACACACATTATAACAGCGAGTTATGAACGACAGCTGAGGAATCCAACTGCACAGATGCGAAGGGAAACTTATTCGGGAGAGCGCGTGCGTGTTTCTACTTAACCAATGTGCGTGCCTGCGCCGCCGCAAAAGGAGAAGGATGTTTAGCTGTCAGCCCGGGCAAAAATGACTTCCTCTTTGATGAAAAGGGTGGCCGAGGGTTCGCCGTTGTGTGGAGAAGGGAGGATTTGAAATTGTCTCCCAGTGATTGTGATTGCCAAGCGCAGGGCCAGGCCATTATATCACTGAATCTTTGTTAAGCAGCCCCTGAGAGTGGCTGACAGCATAATTAATCTTACCATATGAACAAAGGGACCCACTCAATAGTACTGAGGACGCTTATTAAAAAAATACTAAACACATGCTCAAACCCCCCCCACATCCACCCACCGCCACCCCCCACCCCCCACTCTCTGTTTCTTTTAAAAAAGGAGACACAGTGAGATGGTGGTTGCAGGAAAGGTGGCGTCATTATCTCTCTGTTTATTTATTTTTTTATTTTTTTTTTTTTTTAAAAAGGGGGCTATGATATGAGGTGGAGGGCTGGGTGTGGGTTGATCGGAGGAGGGGGCAGCTCCTGGCAGAATGATGGATCATTCCATGCGACAGTGAACGATATTAAACAATAATAGTGTTTATGTGATACCGCCAACCAAATAGTTTTAATTAGAATTTTTAGATTAGCGCAATCTCTCCCCTCACGTGAATATTCAACAGCAGAGGGGATGAGGAGATAATGCGGTTGTGCAGGACCCCACCACACACACACAAACACACACACACACACACACATACATAGCAATGTCCTTATCATTTGCAGGTCTGGCCTGAAGATGAAAAAAATGCTTAAAATATAATTTTGGATGTGGAGGAGGATCTGATATTAGACTATATGTGTAGATATTTTGATATTCTGATATTGAGATGATTTACATTTTTCAATATTCATGCTAGATACTACAATTATTCACCTTTTCACTTTTTTTCGATTACTTAGCATTTATAATCGTAGTGCTTAACAAGTATTGTTGAAATCATTATCCCAACATCAATATTAATATAATGCCGGTAATGTAATGTATGCAAAATCACATAAAACAACCATATGATGTTCAAAGCGCTGGGTGTTTGTGTAAGTGAAACTTTAAGGGCTAGTTTTTATCATAGAAATTTGTTTTTCACTAACATGACAAGATGCTATCAGCTTATTTATTTATATTCATTTTTACTTACCAGTACTTCAGCTGCTTTTAGGTCACACAAACCTCATGACTCCTGCAAATAAAATGGCATGTAAATTTGGTTACCATGTGCTTTTGTTGTGCAAAATCACTCCAGAGATGTCCAGATTGACTTTATTTATTTTTGTGGTTCAAGTCTGTGATCAATCAGTGCACTAAACATCGGCACATCTGTCATGTGCAGGTGATGAGACCAAAAATCTGTGCTTTCCGCCTCCCAAGGACTTGCAGAACCCCTCACTTTAAAATGACTCTTTATCTGATGAGGCATTCAACAAGGTTGGAAGTTCCTATAGGAGGCAGAAATGTTGTGAATATTTTGTGTTGTGTCTTCCACAAGTTCACCAAATAGATTATTTTAAATACAGGAATATTATCCATCATTCAGGAACTGCTTATCGAGTGACCCCATGTTGGGCTGAGAAACTCTGATATTCTTTTTCCTTTTTGACTTGCCAAAGTAGGAAAAACATTAACATTAACAAATGGGTCTATTCAAGTGTCCCAGTAAGCCATGAGAGTGTGACAGTGAGTCAGCATCTACAATACCAGGACCCTGAAACTGAAGCATTTAATTCAGGCATCATTAATTTCATTATTGGCACTTTTGCTTTTCCTACTGTGACATGTCAAAATGTCCTCTGTGGTACTCCTTTAGGGCCACCAGCTCTTCGGGGCAGTGTGACCACCCAGACATTTTCAGCGGTAGTTAAACTCTGGAATACATTAAGCCTTAACGTGAAGAACTAATTCAGAAGAAAACTCAGAATTAAATATTAAATCAAGTAATTAATCACATAAAATACCAGAGATGTAGCTCTATATTCCTGAATTAAATTTACAGAGAGAGAGTGTGAACCTTTTGAGTGATTTGATGTCCCATTTTGGTCTCACGAGGGAGCGCTGGGTCAACAAAGCCGGGTCAGGTCCACAGCAATGGACAGGGATTTCTTTTGAATAATATCCATTAAAATCAAAGTTTCTCCCAAGAAGGTCAAAACTTTGCTTAAACCAAACATGTCAGGGTTGAGTTGAGCTCTCTTTCCTCTTTCTCTCACTTTCTTTTCTTCTTCTTCTTCTCCTTTTTTTTTTTTTTTTGGTAAAATGTCAAGTTTGGTAATATGTCAAGAGGAACAAAATTCTCAGTCCAATTAATGGCTGAGATCACAGCGGTAGAGTGAACTACTGGGAACATTCACGTACAAAATCTAAAGAATATGAGGTGTTCCTGCACAGAATACGTGTGGTAAAACTCCAGAATCCTCCAAACAATGCAAAAAAAAGTTAGCTTCCATGATCAGATTTGGTTTGGCAATTTGGTGGCACAATTCTGGGAACATTGTGTTTTTCGTTTAGTGTTTGATTGAGGGTTAGATGGGATTTGCTGTATTTTTCAGGAATATTTTAAAATTCAGAGTCAATTGTGAATTGACAGTGAAATTAACCACAGTCCCACAAAACAAATCCCCTTTATCCACCCTCTGTCTCCCTCTCTCTCTGGGGCTAAACTGAGCTCGGTCTGACTAAAAGAGGGGTGGAGTAGTCTAATTTATCAGAAACAGGTCACACACACACACACACACACACACACACACACACACACACAGCTGGCTACTAGATCATTTTCTGCAACCACAAAATCCCTTTAATATATTCCCTGTGCTACTTTTGAATATTAATAAAATATCAATTATTAATTTTGCCTTTGGCATGGCAAGATATACAAGTTTTAATTAGTGTACTGTACTCTTTCACAATTAAAAAATAATTGATGTCCATACATGCGGGCATTTTGCTGTGATGGTCTTTCTTGTTGTTGTCAACAGAGGAGGCTGTAAGATGGTGCGGGCACCCTCGCTCTCTTCCTCTTCTCCTTCTTGTCCGCAGTTCAGATGCACTTCGGGCCCGAGGCGATCAAGTCCTATTTTGATAAAGTGCAACATCAAAACAAGATAATGAGACAGAATCGGGGCTTTAAAAAATGGAGGGGTGGGTGTGTGTGCGGGGGGCAGGGGGTACTGTGGAAGGAGGAAGGGACGCTGATGAGAAGGAAGACATTCTGTTTATGCTTGACGTTGCGATGATGCTGATGTTTGGATGGGCTGACCTCACCAATCGCCACCAAGATCATTACCACAGCGGCTTGTTTGGCTTTTAAATAATATAAGAAAAAAACATGCAGCGTACGCTATTTCGTTTATTTACTGACCAAGAAGAACTTTTAATATTTTAATGTTTGTGTACATACGAGGAGCCTCTATGTGACTTTCAGCATTTTTTAGTAGGTGCTTCTGCCTCTTTCTCTCTATCCGTTTTGCCTCTGAGTGTGCATTTTTCCTGTGTGTGTGAGACGGAGAGTGTGTGTATGTATCCTCTGCATGGTGGAGTGGCAGATGGAAGTATGAGAAGCAGGAAATCTGCTCCTGTCCTTGTCAGTTCTGCTCCACGGAGCTCTGATAACTGAATAATAATCCTCCTAGTCTGTCTGCTGCTCACTGCACTCTCGTTTCCTTCCTTCTACATCTTCTGATTGTCTCTTTAAGGTTTGTTCTATCCGGAGGTTTAATTTGTGCCAGATCCTGCCTGACCCATCAGATGGAACAGTATGCTGCTTGTGTAGCAGGTGCGCTCTGTATCGCGTTGTTTATGGTTACTGTCATGCTTGTGTTGTATGGTGTGTTCCAGGCGCTGTAGTTCTGGTGTGCCTCAAGACTTTTTTTCACCTTTGAAGCATCAGTTTCATCCCCAACCTGCTTTCTGAGGAGTGTACCAAGTTTTGTTCAACCACATCTGCTGCATTTCTGCTCTGTTCTTGTGGATTTTGATCCAAAAATCCCACATTCTCCTTTCTGTTGCTGATTAAGATGTCTGTTCTTCCAATACCTTTTATTTTGTCCTTACTGTCTAAAGAGGTTTTGCAGTTGAGCCACATTTCCCCATCTTTCACCAGCTCAGTATGTGCAAAAAAATAAATGTATAATAGAAAATGTTAACATTAAAATGTTGGTAAATGTTCTGAAACAGTATACCGTCATGTCTTTACAGGATGAGTTTACACTAAAAAACTCCAGTTGCAGATTCAGTTGAGTCAGGTCACTTAAGCCAGCTATGTTCACACTGCAAGCCTTAGCTCTAAATCCGGATTCGGATTTACTGCTCAGATCGGATTTTTGTTTTGTTTTGTTTGGCTGTTCACATTATTTTTTTAGATGTGGCCCTTATAAGCTTCCTGTGTGAACAGGTCACAGTCCTGAAGTGACTGGCATGACAAATGTAAATCGAGAGCCAGGATTCCATGTCAGGTCTGAATCACATATGAGCAAAACAAATCAGATTTGGGTCCCTTGGGGTCACGTAATTTAGACCAAGTAATGCTTGTGTGGATGTTACTTCTGCAACACAGTTGGACATTGTTGATTTGACAGTGATACCTTTGTTGCATTCAGTCAGTACTGTTCAACTCGTAAAGCTGAAAAATTATTGTATGATAATGCCCTGTCTCCTAGAAATTGTGTTTATATGCATCCAATTTGCAACAGCAAATACATTTTGTGGGAAATGTAATGCAGACTGAATTAGGTTTTCTATTGGCATGATGAGGACATTTTGTGAATTAACGTACCTGGCAAGTTGACAATGTATTTCATTTGTTTTCTAAATAGGCAATCTTACAGTACTATCCACTTGTAGATTACAACATTATTTAGTCAGCAGTGATTTAAGACATACGATTCTTTGACCAAATTAACCAATTTAACCCAAATCATGATATTTCCTAACTTTAACCAAAGTGCCTTTGTTGCAGGAGTCTGGACATGAACCCTGGACTGTGGTGTGACAGTGTGCGCCCGCCATCCACCCCTACCACCTCCTTGTGACTCCATCGCGTAAGTAATGTTGTCTATGAACATAATCCTGGCAGGTATTACATTATCGCCACAATGTAATTATGAAAACAATTTAGCAATATACAAACTTAAATCCTAGGATGCAGGGTTTCAGAGTGTGTGTGTTTGGGTGGTCATCATTAACTGCTCAGTGTATCACATGAAGTGGACAAATGAAAATGCCACTGCGAGATGTAGATAATGGAATCCAGGCATAGACTATACTGTGTGTTCTTGTGAGTAGCCTGGATGTGTCGTTAATGACTACACATATTACATTACAAACAATACTGTACAATGTATGTATATCTACCTGTAACCTGGTACATAGTTTGCACATTGTCCATAATGCGTTGAAGTGATAACATAAAAACGTATAAACTCAAGTGCTTGAACACACCATCTCTGTGTTTCTGTGACTACTGTACTCAGTATCCACAGTGTCCTCAGTAAAACACATTGCCCTTTAGAGTAAGGTGTGCATTTTTAGCAACATCTACTTCTTCTGTGTTTTAACCCCTAACGTTCTGGTGCGACTGAAGTCTTGGATAAAAATCCACTTTTACTGAGATGTTTTATAATTGTGATTAAGGGGCTTTCAGATGTTTTAGTCATGCATTATTTGTCTATTTGGTTGTTTAAATGTCTGCCACGGGCTGCACTGACACCAGTTTTGGGGTGAGTTCACTTGCTGTGGGAAAGTCAAACATCAAAGATTTGCAAGTGTGAACGTTCACAAAAAAACGTTCCTTGGCTTGTCTTTTGAACTGAAGAAGCAGCTGCTAAAGTCACACTATCCTTGTTTTCTGTGCTTGGTCTTGTTTTTTTGTCTTTTGCCTTTTTTGGGGGCAAAGTTTGTGAGTGTAATGCTGTTTAGTTCTGGGCTTCACAGCTGCTTATGAACACCTCTCACACAAAGCCATTCAGACAGTAACTGCTGGGGCTTGCCATCTGCTCATGGACCAAGATCCATAACACACAATACTTGGCTCAGACTTCATAGTGGGCTGATGAGCCGGCAAACAAGGTGACATTAACTCATCACAAAACCACACTCACCACCGTGGCCACTTTAGGTCATAAACAGTATAATACATTTCTTGTGTTTTTTAAAATGCACATTGTGAGACCTGACCACACCTCCTCTTTCTGTTTGGTTACCTCTAATGGCTCGTTGTCAGGATCCTTGTCTTTCTCCTAACATCTGCTTGGGTTGGTTAAGTTAACCATTAGATGATGAGAGAGAGTGGAGTTTATGATGTGGGCTCCTCCATAGTCAAGGCTCTGCTGATACTAGTGGCTGCTGTGCATGTCCTGACTTACAGTACCTATCAAAAGGGGTCCAAGGAAGGAAAAACGGTGAAACGGAGACTGTTTTTGTTTCTACCTTCAGTGAATGAAGTTCAACCTCTGTGTTCAACTTCAGTTGAGTTCTGTTTAATTGCGTGGAAGTTGGGCCGCCCTGGTAGCTCACCTGGTAGAACTGGTGGCCCATGTACCAAGGCTGAGTCCTTGCTGCAGCGGCCATAGGTTGGAGTCCAAACCGTGGCCCTTCGTTGCCTCTCGCTGTCACCCCCTTTCCTGTCAATCTTGAGCTGTCCTACCAAATAAAAAAGCCCCCCAAAAAATTGCAAGGAAATCAAAGGGCATCGGTTTGGTTTCAGAAGTGAAGAGAACACAATGAAGACAGGGTTTCTTCCAAAGAATAAAGAAATAAAAACCTTGGAACTTGATGTTACTGGATGTAACTTCCTGCATTTGTAGGATAAATTCAACCTAGATTCACATATTATTATTGCAATAGGCTTTCCATAATAACAATAATGTCTAACATCGTTGAACATAGTCTAGTTTTATTGACAGAAACCTTAATGATATTTATGTGCTTGCATCTTTTCATAAATTAGCAGTGTCATTTATTGTCTTATGTTTGATTTATGTTTATTTCTATTATTTTTAGTAGAATACTACATTAAACATTGTCAACTGTAAATCAAAACATTTATATTTTTCTGAAAAATATCAAGAGAATGTAGCGGTATTCAAAGATCTACACCCTTATCAACTCAGAACTTTTCTTATCTAGATTTTGGCCACTGGACAGTAAGAAAACATTCTTGGGAGAATGTTTGTGTATAACTCAAAGTGAAAGTGTAGAACTGTGTAACGTGGGCAATAGCACTAATGAAGAAGTCAAGTGTCTGAGTACAAGCATGGGGAAAATAATTACAATAACCATTTATTCCTCTGGTATGATTGTATAAAGTATGTGTGTCTCACCTGCCACCTCCACTTTTTGACTTACTGCCATTAACCCCACTCAAATATAAATTCAAACTTCTTCAATTGGAAAAACTGAAGAAAAAAAAACAGACTATTGGGAGTGGAGGGAGAAAAAAAGAAATCCAGAACCAGGGGATTTATGACACAGACACATCCAGGAGAGGAAGAAGAGAGAGGGTAGACAGAAAGAGGAGAATTTCAGAGACTCCCTTAATGGTGTTGGCATGAGATTTGAGGGTTTAATATTGCATGCAGTTGGATTTTTTTTTTCTTTTTTGTGCAATTGACCAACATGACATGCCTAACTGTATAAATGGGCTGCTTTATGATGATAAGATCACTGGCTAATAAGATATTTATGTGACACGCTGACGGATCCATCTCCTCCCTTCCCCGTCCTGCCATCTTCACGCCTCGCCGAGCCGGTGAGGATCAAACGCAAATTCTCCAAATGGGGTCGTTAAATGGAGAGGAAATTTAATAAATTAATACTTTCTTTTTTTTCAGAGAAGGAGCTAAAAAAGAAAGATGGGGGAGAGAGAGAGAAGCAGAGAGACAGAGACGGAGAGCGGGAAAGAAGTTTTTTGTCCTGACAAAAAGTCCAAGTGACAGAGTGTTTATAATCTTTTTTTTTTTTTTTTCTTTGGCTTTTGTACATCAGTCGTCCATTTCGTCTCACCCCCCGGCTCCCTCCCTCGAGCCCCCTCTGGGTATTTACACATGGGTGTCACTTGGGAAAGGTGTCACACTTGTCATATTGTAGCTTAAATGAGGATGTTGTAGTTTTTATCATTATGACAACAAGCAAAAGATGAAGCAAAAATATTATAAAAAAGGATTTAGAAAACATAAAATAATTCAAAAGTATCCTCAAAGAGCAGTGTTCCTGGGAGCTGATTGCTTGATGTCTAATAATTTGATCAAATACGATGTTCATCAGCCAATGCTCTACTCTGTCACTGGAAATGTTGTTGTTGTAAGCATTGTGGAAGTTTTGCAGTGGCAAATGATATTACATGCAGGAGCTGTAGCTTAGAGTGAAGTGAATTCACAGTATTCAGATATGGACTGAAAACTGTAAGATCACCTCATAAAGTGAAGGGTTCCCAAGCAGCCTTTGACAGCAGTGTACACAATAGTCTGTATGCTCCCAACCCTGCCACACATCACTGTATATGCTCGTATACAAACATCCTCAGGAGTGGAGATATCCAGAGGGCCCAATTAGGCAGAGACATGGAGAGCGAGCTAAGGAGAGAGAGAGAGAGAGAAAGAGAGAGAGAGAGAGAGAGAGAGAGCGAGCATGTATCACTGTGACAGACTGTGCTCTTTGTCAACTGCCAGCCTCCATGTTTGACTACAGGCCGCCTGTCAGCTCCAGCATGGCATCCATAACAACTCATGTGACATGAAGTACACACAAGCAAACGCACATACACGCGCACGCACATACACTCTGAGTCAACATGGCCATGCTAATTAGCCTAATGCCGGTAATGAAGAGGCCTGACATGCTAACATCTTAGGAGTGATGCTTTTCGCGAGCAGTATAAACACAAGTATGACACACTCTGACCCCTCCTCCCACGCACGCACTCGTTCACACATACACGACACTTAACACACACTTCTGGCTGTAATCTAGACACACACACACACACACACACACACACACACACACAAACACAAAAATACCTCCTACACAGCCACCAGCAGTGTGTGTCTGATCACTGGCGCGGTGTTTAGCACATCTGGCTGTATGGTCACCCAATGGGATTCGCACCCTAAAAAGTGAAGGATTCACAGCATAAACATATATATTTATGCACAGTTCACAGCTATATTTGTGGCTTAATGGGGAAATTAATGTTTATAAGGGCTCTTTCACACTAAAAGTAGAATTCCCATGGTGGCTCAACACAGCATTTGCTTATATGGGAGCTATTTGAGCCAGATGTGAACCAAGAACCTGTACCCAACTCCACCAGTGCAACATGGTGAAAGATCATTTGCAATAAAACTGCAGTCTATATGAAAACAGTTACTCCCGCTTCAATAGAATTAATGTGTGCATGTCACACCATTGGTGGCACTCTTGCATTGTTAATCCTGATTAAAAGAGGATCATTGTATGAACAGATGACATAAAATGCCTGACTGAGGACACATTCAGTCCCAGACTACACATGCCTAAATGCATATATTCAGCATATGACCTTTTATTTAAAGTTGGGTTCTGCCAGTTGCATTCTGGTTTCCTGTGGCTTCAAAACAAACAAAATATCTTATCAAACCTTATACCTACCTTTGGTCTTTTATATTAGAAGCTAATGTGACCCTCACTTTTGGTTTGACATAATTCAATTTGGTATCAAGCTAATGTGTGTAATATATACGCCACTACTGTGGCAGCGTGACATTTTTTCTCGCCTAGGCGCTGCGGAATTCCACGTTCAAGTTAGCAATAATACATATGCTAACACTTTCAGAATAAAGCTTGCTAAGTTCGCAGGTTAGATTAGGTTAGTCTTCCATAACAAAAACCACTTAGGATTTTAAAAAAGCTCTTATCTGACAAATCAACAAAAGAGTGGTGACCATTCTACAGAGAAATGCCTTAGCAGAAAACGTAATGTCAGTTTCAGGAGAATCATAACATTGATAGCTATTGTAGAGAGGATGAAAGGATAAAATCATAAAAAGTGATATGTATCTAAATCAAATAAAGACCAACTACACCACCTAGTTACGTCTAGGATCTTTAGAAAATGTACACACACAGGTTCTTTACCTCAGGGGCAGCAGTGTGTATACTCAAGGACAGTGACAAACAAACAAATTATTGTTTTTTTTTTTTTTTAAAAAGATAAAAAAAAGTTACAAAAACTACTACTAAACTATAATTTTGAAATCCAGGAAGTAAAAATGGGGAAAAATAATACTTTGTCCCAATAATAATAATAGAAATGTCCTTCACACCTTGACCTAAGCTTCTGTGTGGGCTACCTGGCTTTCCAGTCCACTGTGGCCCTCGTCCTCCTCACAGCCAGGTTCCTCGCTCTCATCTGTGTAGGCCGCGTGAGGATACACAGCCGGGCAGAGCTACCACTCTGCTGGGCTTCTCTAAGTCCTGGTTATAGCAGTATGGTCTGATGATGTTGCTCTCCTCGCTGGCTGTCATCTGCTCTGGCCTGGCTTCTCCTGTTGTCAACAACTGTGCATCAACATCACTGTCTTGCTCACTGGTCTGGAGGGAACAACTTCAGGTAGTGGAGCCTGGGGAGCACCGGCCGGCCTGCGGCTTCTTGTTGCCTAGGTGTGGCAGCACTGCTGAGCCCTATTCTCGCCTCTCCTCCTTTTCCACATGAATTTGGCAGCACCCACAGGAATGCTGAGGGAGATACATACACAAGGTTGTCAGTCATCACCCACACCTGGTCCTCACCTGACCACAGGCCTCTCCCTACAGGGCCCAGGAGAAAACGTATTTATTGGGCAGCTTGGGAAGTGGACCTGTAACCCCGACATGGCACAAGTACCCTCTGGTAGCATCAGGATGAGAAAACAGCAACAGAATGACAGAGGTGGCGTCCTAACAACAACAACAACTGGGGAATGATGGAGCTAGGGAACACAGCTCCATCATAACACCGTTGTCTCCTATGCCCTGCAGGGATTGGTGCTTACTGGGTTAATCAGAAAGTGCACAGGTGCAGGTAATATGTGGAGTAATCAGGGAGCACAGGCAGATCAACACAAAAATACATGCGAAAAAAGGCATAAGGCTACGGTGAGTGACCATCGCCTGCCGAGGTGAAATGTGGGCAGTGCAGGATATGCTGCACATGGAAATCAGTTTGCTAGTTTGTAGTCCGTTGGGGTCAACTGCACACATGTATTTGCTATTGCTGTGACTTCACCGGTCAATGTTGAACTCCAAACACAGCAGAGATGCAAATCTGCTTTGACACTGAGAGTTTTTCTCCTTCATAGAATGTATGTGCACAGGAGGTAAATATTCACCAGTGTTGGTTTTGCGTTTGTGTGACACTGCCTTAAAGCAAGACTAACATGCAAAGTAAAACCACAACCAGGAAAAAAAATGCAAATAATACAAATCAAATAAATATTCAACTTAATACATGATGGCAATGTGACACTAATATTGATTAGATTCAATGAAGAAATTCAAAAGCATTCAGATTCAATAAGCGGTTCCGAAACTGGGTTCAGATATGATAAAATGCTATCGAACTCCTGGATCCCCAACGATATCTTTGAAGAGATTGAAAAGAGATTGTGATAACTGTTGTGCAACCTAAGGCAAGACAGGTACTATTCCAAAATATGAGTCATGCTCTTGGCTGGTATTGTTCATGACCAGCTGACACTTCCATTTCCGAGGGAGGTGCTAACCGAGACTGTCAGAGAGTACCAAGAATGCCTGTCTGCTAGTAAGAACTCACAAAATATGCTAACTCTCTATTACATCAAAAAAGCAACTGTGTAAAAATTTAGAGAATCACCCCCAAACCATCAAAGAAAATGTTGACTTTTCATAAGACTTCACACAGACGCAAAGTGACAAGAATAATGAGGTTGTGGCCTGTTGTGCGCACACTGACCATCACACATGAGCGTGTGAAGGTTTCATAAGATCAGAGCATGAACTCATTCAGGAACATAGAAAGGTAGTTCATCAGGGCAAAGGCACCTGTTCTAGTTTTTCCTCTCAACACACACACGTGTGCAAACGTGCACAAACAAACACACACATGCTCCTTCACACACCCTCTCTTTAAATCTCGGAGGAGCTGCCTGTGTACTCTATATTTATTATCCAGGGTGGCACTGTTGATAGATGAGATACCTACACAATTACAAGGGCACAACATTGCCTTTCCAAGCTGATAGGGTGAAAAACTGGCTCCCTTTCTTCTTCCCTTTGTGTTTTTTTTTCTATCCCTCCATCCAGAAAGGTGATATACAACAATGTTGGGGGATACATCTCTCCGACACGCTGAAATGCCCTGCACCCTGAAACCCCATCGCCATACAAAGGACAGACCCGAACGGGTCAAATGGGAGAAGCAGTGACTTCCTTCAGCGTGGTATCCATTTCGGAGGGATCGCTTGCTGCTGTGTACATTGTCACAGTCTAGTATATGAACAAACATGGCATACATACACACACACACACACACACACACACAAGCAGACACAAGCATGGACAGAGTGCAGCTGCAGCCAGGGGGCCCACAGCGGCATTAATCTCCATCCAGCTGAGATTTGTGAAGCCGGGAGATTGAGAGGAGGCCGATGATGCCGGCTGTGTCAAGGAGGACATCTTGGAAGCATGATGTTGAGCTATGTTCCTGCAGCCGGCCGGGGGGGAGGCATCGACATATAAAATGGCTGTAAATTTGCATTAGGCTCAATCCATCATCATGGGACGGGTGAGAGGGAGGAGTGGGGGTGCAGATTGGGACAGGCAGAGAGAGTGACTGTGGAAGAGCAGGAGAAAAAGGAGGGAGGAGGGCATGGGGAAAAGCCAGAGAAAAAGGAGGGAGGAGGGCATGGCGGTGGCGGTGGGGTGGACGTCGAGGAGGTGGTGCGACACTGAGCAGGCTGCTCCGCTGTATGCTGCGGTGAGGCCGGCCCTCTCCTCCTCTCTGACAGATTCCTATTTAAGTGACTGTGAATGCAACAATTCCACAAATAATTTGTCAAGCCGTGCACAGCTGAACTGGCTCTGAACCCGGCTCCCTCTCTCCCTCTCCTCCCACTCGCTTGCTCGCTCGCCAGCTATACACCCACACCCACAGAAGCAATAATCTTTATCAAAATGTGCATATGTAGTTGTATGTAAACACCTTCGTTGTCACTTTTCTCTATTTAAATCAGGTTGGTTTTTTAATGTTTGCTCTATATGCTGTGTCTATAATGTATTTATAATCAAACTCATACAAGATAGGTTTGCCTGAATGCAACGGGTTTCCTGATTCAGGTCTGGACCAACATGGGTCCTAAAGGGTACTTCACAGATTACCCAGTAAGATAACTTGAATTTGATCATTTAACCAGATGATGAATGAAAGAAAAAACTGCAGGTGCTTCCATATAGGGTAGGAGGGGTGACAGGATTTATTAATAAACATTAAAATGATGTGAATCAGACGTTTTGGCCAGCACAGTCACCAGATTTCAGGCCAGCTGAACACCAGCAAGAGATGTTGGACCATCGTTAAACTCAAATTATACGTTCTGTAAGGTATAGTCGCCAGGGTCCACGTAACATACATTTCTCTGTCTGCCCGTATCTGTGATTGTCCCTGCAGACCGATTTCATATGTTTAGGGGCAAACATACAAGCAGAGGTGAATGAGGGTAATAACGTTGTTTTATTTGTACATATAATGTCAGTGGCGCTCTTCCATCAAAGCAGTGATCTATCAGGAGCGGGCCGGTGAAGCATGTCCCTTATCTGTCCCCGTCAGCGGGGGCATTACTCACCCAGGAAGTTTTGTATGGGACAGGCTGGGTTGGCGAGGGAGAAGGGGGGGTTCTAGTGTTGTCAGGCCAAATTGGTGATCAATCACCACATCAAACACCCACACACACACCGTCATGCTGATTACATGCATAACAATAGAGCAGGGGAAAGGGAAAGAGGAATGAGGGTGAAATATTTTGGATCTAACAAATGAAGGGGGAAAAATGGCAGGTAAAGGATGATCTCAGACTGTACTGATGATGTTTATTCAATAGATATTTTACACCATACGGTGGGCGCTGGGAAAGGTTGGATATGAAGAGGAGAGAGAGAGAGAGAGAGAGAGAGAGCTGAGGGGAAATGGAGAAAAGGGCCTTAAGCAATGACTTCAGAGGGCATAGCAGAAAAGGGAAAAAAGTGTTCATTCATCATTATTGTCATGGGCTTTGGCAAATGATAATAATTTGTCTTCATCCCTATTTTTAGACAATGAGCCACAATAGCCATTTTGGCCAGATGGGAAAGGGGGCCTGTGTGAGCAATACGCTACATTTTGTTTGACGTCCTTTATATGGAATTTCTTAATTAGGACTCTCTGCCACTGGTGTCTGTTTCTGGACTATTATTTTATACATGCATGCAGTTCAATGACACATTTAGATGTATGGATCTTGGGAAAGGGTATGCAGACCCATTTCTTTTGAAGCATATTTACAAGGCATAATTGTATGGATAATGTGCTTGATTTCTCACTGCCCAAATGCAATTTAACTTGATCAGTGAGTTGAACGAATGGATAGGAACAATTCTACACATGACATAAGTTGAAAAACACAAAACCATGAATAGATATAGTAATTAAGTCCCTGGGGAAAACTGATTTCCCAAAAGCATATAGCACACCTACAAACAAACAGCTATGATCGACGTGGCATGGGACATGGAAGCATTATTAAAAGTCAGGAGGTGTGTTGTGTGTGCGCTACATGAAGGCCCTGATGTGTTTGTCCCTGCTGAGCCTGTAGGGAGGTCACAGAGTGAACTAGGAGGGATGAAGATAAATAGGAGTAGAGCAGGACATATGGAGGAGGTTTAATTGACAACTAACGTGCACGGTGACCCTGTGACTCATAGGTTACTGCCAGGCCACGGCATAAACACACTGCATTATTTGACCCAGCTTTAGAGGCTTTGTGAACGCTGCAATTAAATCACCAATTTCTCACTACTGCTGCTATAGCTCTATATCACAGGACTCCATGTTCTACTGATGCAAAGGTAATGAAAATTTTGAAATATAATATCATATAATATCATATAATATATAATCTGTAATAATATAATTGAGATTCATTGTGGATTGAACAGTTATTTGTTAAAGCAGAATTAACTGTACAATTGGAAAAAAACTATCACCTATTTTCTTGTAGCCCCAGTTTGTGCCTATAATGAAATAATTTTTTTGGGTTGATACATTAATGATTACAGTCGCAGAAATAACCTTTATCAAAGCCAAATAGAAACAAATTGTGGGACAGGTAATCTAACAAAATGTATCATATTTCTATCTTTCTCTTTTATACTACAGAAATGTCACTAAAATATTTGAACTAGAAATGATAGCTGCTTATATTTTTTCATTGCCATGTTTGTTTCATTGCAATAATTATTGTAAATGTCTCAAACATTCAATTGACACAAGAGGCAAAAACATGATACAAGGTTTCAGGAAACTTTTATACCAAGTTCATGTCATGTGTGACTTCTCATAATAACCAGATATTGATGCTTCCATCAATATCCCATAGTTATCAAAATCTGCAATATACCCAACTATTTTCTAAATAATACGTAAGCGCCTGTAAAAACAAACCTCATCATTCAAGGTAATTAAATGTTTATATGGCTATATTGACCATGCACAGTATGTTTCAACCGTCATACAACCAACTCTGTAATTTACACAATCATCTTAAATTGTTATTGCAAGCTTCTGTCTATGAAAGTGGTATAATCT